CAAAAGGCCCGATGTACAACTGGAACGAGCATAAAAATATTAACGAGCCATATAAACCGAGGAAAAGTTATGAAAATTGCATCTAGCGAACGAACGAGCCCGTGCATGGTGTATACACCTTTTTGCCTTTCGGAAAGTAAAAGATCGTCGTTCGATGTTTCGAGGCAAAACTTATACAGCTTCTAGCACAGGCTTTGGCATTTCGGTATTTGGCGTCACCGCGCGAGACGAGGAGCTGCACGGAGCAGTTTATATCGTTCTGTGTAATTTTTAACGAGTCGCAAAAAGATACGCGATTCTTCCGGAAAGAAAAATATTCGCGTACATGTTATAAAAGTGCACTGCTGCTGCTTATTTGTGTATGTGTGCGCGCTCGAGAGGCAATGAACTCTCTCTTTCTTATAGAAGCCCGTCTATATTATATTATATTGTAATACAGGTGCATAATTTTTTAAGTGTGTATGTGTCAGTGGTTTCGAGTATTTTTTTGCACTCTCGTGTAGCATCGCGTTTGTACAATGGCGATCGTAATAACTTTCCGTGGCCGTGACTCCGGGTGCCGAAAGCTTGTGGTTTCTGCTATATAATATTATAATACGAATAAATTGCAGCAAAAAAAGCTTCGCACACGCTTCTCTACAGGTGTCACTTCATTGAGACATGGGCGAGGCGCTCAGTGGCGCGAAAGGGTGAAAAAGGACCATTATACAAATGTTAGGGTTCAGCCGAGTGCGAGAGAGCGCGTGGACTACTACTGTCGCATTACATATTTACGACTGTGCATTGTGTTCCGAGGAGACGTTTGTGTTGCCACATTTTTTGTCATCTTCGTGCGACCTTACGTATACGCACTTCTATCCTTTAAATATATTTCCGGCTGCAGTGCGGAGCAGCGCGTGTCAACGCGCGAGAAAACGAGAAATCACGTTTTTTTTATTCTTTACACGAGGGTCGAACGAGTCGCGTGCCGGAATTAGCATATCGTAATGTACGTATACACATGCTCGTATCAAGGTATTGAATCCAATTTTTGAGCCATGTACACAACAAAATACACTCGTGCGGATCCGAGCGAAGGTGAGATGGTCAGGCACTGATAATTGTGCGTACGCACTCGAGTCGATTCAAATTAGTCATACGAGACTAACGAAGTCAGAATCGACTCTCGGACACTTATCGCGATTCGTTCCCTGTATTACATACTCATTGTACTCACAATCTGTATAAGGGACAAATCGTTGATATCGATGTGCGGCTACGGTGTATTAAAGCGGCAGATCGTTATCGACGCGCGTCGGCAACTCTTTAACGCCGCTCGAATATAAGCTCGAATTTAAATTCCAAGGCGCGTGCAGTACACTGCGTAAGGGAGTGCGGGTGAAGGCTATATTGTATTATGGCTCAATCTAACGTTCCGAAATACGAGGCGTGCTTGGCGCACGAGCATGCGTGGTACACAGGGCGTTTGGTAATGAAGTACGAGGAAAAAAAATACATACGCGACGGATAAGAATATGACGATTCAACCCCCCTTGGACGAACGAAGACGCCTAGGGGTCCATTTATGCATGTTACCATAGCGACTCCGCGATCTGTAGAGTAGGTCGAATTTTCATATACTCAGCTCGCATTATAATGATAAATGCCGCGTATTTTCGTCTTTGCTCTATCACACATATTATAAAGCAACTAATATTTATCGAAGATAATTACCCAAGCAATGGTTTTGCACAGGTAAGAGATATCGGGCGAAACAAAAGCTCTCTCTCTGTCCGCGAGAATTTGGTCGTAAAAGCGCAAAAAGTACATCGAAGAATGACAAGTCAGCCAGCGAGAGCAAAGAGTTCTCGAGGCGTCGTAAAAACATTGCGAAAGTCCGAGGAGCCCAAGTCGACAAAAGGGGAAAAAAAGTATAAGGTAGATAAAAAAAAGGAAAGAAAGAAAGAAAGAAAAAAAAAATAAGAGTCCGCGAGGAGAAGAGCGCCCATAGATCGTTCCGTTACGCCGCCGCGCGAGTGAAGCGTAACGAGAAACGAGCGCGCGCCGATAAAAGTGAGCCTCGCTGCGTTCGGGCTCAAGCAAGTAAGGCCCCGCTCACTGCCGAGTATATACTACTTACTGCTGCTACTACTAGCCAGAGTAGCATAACGCGGGGCTCAATGTTAATCGCGTCTCTCTATAGCAGCAGAGACGCTGACTTTTTGCCATATCGGAGAGACGGTATTTTTTGCAATAGTCTATAGCTATAGCTTTCTCGATACTGTGTAAAAGGGTTAGTAATTTCCTCCGCGAGGATGTTGCCGCTGCTGGCGAGCAAGGAAAAGAAAAGAGAGAGGTGCAACCAAGTCGGCAGCGATGTATTGCGAACACACACACACAGAAGGATAGACCTACGATTATAATGGACATTTTAAAATTACGTTTTATGACTCGGACCAGAAGAGCGTGGAGCGAAAGAAATTTTCTCTCCACTCGATACACGTCGTGGTGAAATCGTAAGAAATTACATATTGACACATGACAATAAATTTTTGGAAAATCTTGCGACTGTGGCTGTGCAGGCTTATCGTAATTTTGCTATAAAAATATTTGAGAAAGTGATCTTACAGCTTTTAACGACGTAGCAATTTATTTAAAATTTACCTTGCAATGTGACAGAATAGCGCGAAAAAAGATAATAACAGAACTAATGAGTCAAAGCTCTGCTCAGAAAAGTTCGATTCCATTTCGGAGCAAACACATTGAGTATAAAATTAGATTGACAGTGAATCACAGTGATACCTTATAAACACAGCATTATACATTGAAATCACTTCTAATTAAAAAACGATTATTACAGCTCGGAGAACGATTAATTATTCAACTATGAAAATCGTACCTGAATAAACCCGCGTCGGGATCGGGCTCGATCGAAGATATACAATACAACCGAGAGTCCACAAACGATATAATTCCATTATTTTTTAGCTCGATAGCACTCGATGGATTTTATCAATTAACGTATATAAAATGAGACACTTTTTTATTGGCAATAATGAGGAAAAACGCGTGGATCGACTGTGCGCGCGTCCAGTAAGCTCGACGGCTCTCGATGTAGTGCTCTCGTGGCGGCTGCAGCGTGTCGTCGCCGATATTCCTTACGTATTATAAGGCACCAATGGGCGAGAACTCCGGTACCCAGCACGCAACGAACACAACACACCCCACCCGCTGCTCTGTCTCTCTCTCTCTCTCTTTCTCTCTCGGCGTTGTGTATAGGCACCTCGAACGCTCGCAGTGTATATACAAAATCCGCGACGATCCTTTTGTATTACAAAGTCTTTTTCCGATCACGAAGTCGCGCGAGCCTCCGACTCCGCAGGGTATACACACGAGGGAACATTGCCTCGGTTGCAAGCGATGCGTACCTATCGCTGCAGCAGGTATATAATGTGGAAAGACGACGTATTTTGGTCGAGTCATCGCAGCAGCAGCAGCAGACACAATATGATAGAGAAGCTCGACTCTTGGCTGTTTCACTTCTGGTTTTTTTTTCTCATTTCTTTCGTCATTATTTTTCCCTTGAGCGCATATACTAGCAGCGCTCGTGTGAACTCGATCGTCTCTCTCTCTCTCTCGCTCGCTCGCTCGCCGATCTGTATCGGTTGGCCGCGCGCGCGCGCGCGATGAGAAGCTTTTGCGCGAGTCTCTCGAGTCGCGAGAAGGAATTCGGGTTGATTGAACCTCGCCGATGACTCGGGCACTTGTGTATATTCGCTACCTTTTTTCGCACGTATCGCCGTATTAAAGTCATCTTGACAAACTCTACATGGATGTCTCTACTTAGATCTCGAAAATCCTTGTGAAAATTCCTCTTAGAATCGCTGGAACCACAAGCAAGCGACGCAGGGTATACCAAGCGCTTGATCTACGGAAAAAATGGATGCTCTAATCGAATAAAATCAATGCTTCCATATGTGGTGTGTAGTACAGTAGATACACGTATAGAAAATATATAGAGAATATGTGCATATATAGCACATAGAACGGAGTCGAGCTCCACAAGTGGTGCATAGTACAGCCAATCAGCTCTTGATCATTTACATGAAAGCCGCCGCCACCGCCGCGCGCGGGTCTATATAGATAGATGCAGACACAGTTGAGAGAGAGAGGAGGGGACAGCGATTTTCGTCCAGTCCACGTAAACCACACCTACCGATTCCTTTTCTCTCCGACTCCGACGTGCTACTACTACCGTATGTGTACTGTCTGACGCTCGTGCGCTTATGTATACGTGCATAATATAGCCATGTGTGCGAAGGGGCACGAACATTACGATATAATCGATACAGGCCATCGGGCCAATTTTGACCAATAGCCAATCGCTTCGTGACGAATGACGCCGCGACAGTTGTCGTCGATATATGTTATGTATACGGGAACCTGCCGGGGATTTGTTCGTTATTTATCCGACTACTGAAGTTATACATTTATTTACAAAAAAACTGTTTCAACATTAATTTTCATTGTGTCAGAAAAAAGCACTCGAGTTTTTTAAGTCTTTAATTGAGTTATTTTCAAAAATGACATAGTTCATTTATATAATTCATTGATTTACGATGGACGCCACTAAATTATGAAAAATAGTTTAAAATTTGAATGCTAACAAACGTTAATAATAAACCGTTTTATTTTATTCATCTGTTTATCCTATTATCATCAAATTGAATATATGAAACATTTTCCATGATGCTCTATTTCTTGACCCACTTCACACACCGTAAAATTATTTTTTCAATTTTTAATTTTTTTTTTTTCTGGTGAAATATCACTCGTAGAAAAATTTTTATTGCGTATTAGGCTAAACATCAATAATATAATTTTGTTGATAATACACAATGACTTGACGTTGTTCTGTTTACATTGCCATACCCAAATTTTAAGATCATGATTTGTAAATATTATTGAATAAAATCGAAAGCAGTTGATTCGACGTGTAACATTATAACTGATAGATCAATCGTAAGTGAGATTCTATGCAAGAAGGATGGAATCGAGTAATTTATTCAACTGCGCTGTCAGGTAATTTTTTTTTTATAAGAATGAAGATGTGGAAATATTGTCACACGAATTATTAATTTTATTGAAATCTTTACAGAGTTAAACAAGAGCCCAGAGATGAGTTGCTGATAGAAAGCGACGATTACAGCACGAAAAAGTGATTGGTTCATGAAAGATAAAGCTACGAAAACTACAAAACACGATGCAGACTTACACCACAGGAGGTCGTGCTGCTTAACCGTTTCTGAAGCTGCTTTATGAAAAGCGAAGCAAATCTCCACTGCGCTACGGAGTATCTACCAAATTTTCTAGCCATTGCAGCTTCCTACAAATGTCGCACGACCATGCACTCGAAAACGTTAAGTAGTTTTAGCAATTGACGAAGCTGCATGCTCTTTCGTAGTGCAATATTTTTCTGTTTAATGTTTCATGAATTAATCACTTTTCCGTGAAGATAATTGACAATACACGTGATGTTAAGCACGTTAACTTTTCTAAACCTTTACGAGAAAATTCGGTAAGTGTTAATGTTTACACCCCGCTTGCATTTGCTTTCAACGATGATTTTTACTTAAATTCAATTTTATTACAGGCTAAAATGCTTAAAAAATGCGAGGATAATCATGAAAATGAATTTAACGACATGCGAATCGAGTTTGAATCCGAACTCATGAAGCATAGTATGAATTTATTATCAATTAAGAAATTTGACAATTATTCTCAAAATCACTTGCAAAAATAGAAACTGTGGATGGAGTGAAAAAAGAATTTTTTGGAGGTGAAGCAAATAAATTTATTATGAATTTAAACCCTGATCTTAATGAGAAAAATGAATTAAGAAATGTTAAAAAAGAGTTTAACAATAAAAAGAGACTCAAAATATCAAATATCAATACGGTGCACAATAGTGTCAGGTCTGCATGTAATATCTGCAGCAAGACATTTTCAGTAAAAAAAGTCTCCAAAAACACATTAATTCGATGCACGGTAATATTACCTACGCATGTGATATTTGCGGGAAGACATTAACACAAAAGAGTCATCTCAAAACTCACATCGATTGGATGCCTAATGGCGGAAAAAAATTTGCAAATAAATCTTATCAGTACATTATGATACTGTCTATACATGCGATGCATATGAACAGAAATTTACACAGAAGCGTAGTATCAACTTCCACATTCTTAATAAACATAATGGTACCACCCACACATGTGATATTTGTCGAAAAACGTTTTCAAGAAATCGATGCAGTGCACAAGGGTGTCACACATGCGTGTGATACATGTGGCAAGATATTTTCACACAAAGTGGTGTCAAAAAACAAATTATTTCGGTACATAACGGTGTACGATATGCATGTGATATATGCGAGTCAAAATTCAGAAGAAAGATTTATCTCAAAATACACATTGATTCAGTGCACAATCATGTTGCACATCCATGCAAAGTATGCGGGAAGATATTTTCACAAGTATCAAGCCTATATTGGTACGTTAAAACACACGATAATATCAGGTATGAATGTGACCCATGCCGAAAGAAATTCAGATGGAAGAATAGTCTCAAAAAACATATTAATGCGGTGCATATCAAAATCAAATATCCGTGTAATATACGTGGAAAGATATTCACACGAAAGCACATTCTCCAATTGCATAACCGTACAATGCACAGTGGTATCATACACAAATGCGATAGATGCGGTAAAAGATTCACTTAAGAGAGACGTCTTCAAACCCACATCTAATGCAGTTCATCATTCTCGCATTATGACCTATCATTTACGATGCAATTTATTTGTGCAGAAGACTAATAAAAAAATTTTCATTTATATCAACATTATGAATTCTATTTATGTTATCTGACTGCATAAATATAACGTACAAATTTGTAAAAATCAATAAATTTCTCATGAAAATAAACGATAATGCTTTAATTTGAATAAATTTAAATGTTATATTAAATTGTACATAGTTTTCCGCGTATTACTCCATACAAGTAACTTCGATCTTTACATTACATTCCACGCTGGACCCACCCCCTAGCATTGATCTTAGGCTCGTACACGTTCGATGGCAACAGAAATCGAAGCGTCCATCCCCTTCATCGGTCAGTATTTTTTTTATCCCAAAATGGCGTCTCGGAAACGCGTAGGCAAGGACTATTGGCTAATTTCTTCGGCCCCCTCAAGGGGCTGTATTATAGTTTTCAGAAAAAATTCATCTCTCTGGAACGTGGGTATTTTTAATAAAATAGAATTGAAATTTTACCCGAATAATTATGAATTTCGTCTAGGAACTTCGATGAGAAGCATTTATCGAATACTTATTGTTTCTCTATCGTGAAAATAAAATTGTTCAAATGCAAGTTTAATTTTCTGTAAAAAATCCCATTAAAATGTATTAATGAAAAATCCTTCGGAACAATCCCCTTCATAATGCTACGAGCACGCATCGAAGATCAATGTTACCGTTCCTCCAAAACAATCTTAAATCTCGTCTCGTATCGACGTACGTTTCGCGGAAAGAAACTAAAAAAATAGTGGCAGTGCCCCAGCATTAGAAGCAGCAGCAGCGGCAGCAGCTTCAACGCGTCATCCCCGTGAGCAATCTATACGCATACACGAAGCACACATAACATCTGTCATAATCCGCGTATACGTGCCGCGCGGTGAGGCCCTTTCGGATTTTTTTTTCGCCCCGTTCGATATTTTACACGCGCAACGCGACGCGATTTCTTTTATCCTTCTCTCTCGTCTCTCTCTCTCTCTCTCTCTCTCTCTATCGCACGAAGGGGGAGAGTTTCGTAAAAGAGATCGTTTTGTCGCTACAAGGGTGATCCTATAGCCCCTTAAAAATCCTGTAGCTCTTTTTTTTATCATTCTATAGGCCATAGTTTCCGATCGAAGGTCGATACCTTGTGGGCATATTGTGTCGCTCGCTAGCTGGCGCAGCTCTTTCATTCACGAAACGGTAGCGTTTTTTATTCTGTTTTCTTTTTTTGTGCTTTTTTTCGGGCAGAAAAATGACCCGGAAACGGCTAATAATCGGCCCATCGTATACGCGCACATATATTCTCTCGTAATTTTTAGGTATGAACGTCGAGACTCGAGACGGCTAATTATACATCAACCCCGCGATACGTTTATATGAACGTGTATAGCCGTACGTACGATTATACTCACTGCACAGGACAGATTGGCTGGATCGATTCGAGCCGCAACAGCAGCCAACTCGGAGAGATTTCCAAGCACGTGACACGCGGATCTTAATACGTAACTTAATTATGCAGCCACGGGTCTCGCGATTTTGGAGTGATGTATGCGCGACGTTTATCGATCTTCGGATATGCTCTGAGTCGGATGCATATTCTAACATCGAAATGTGATGGAATCGTCAATGCAGTCGCGGCGCGCACGGAGATAGGACGCGTCTCTCTTTCTACCTCGAACCGATTTTTCGCCCATTGCCAATTCATTAACTTATTCATGTCGATTTCAGATGGAAATTATTTACTCGGATGGCTATTATTCCGGAGGTAAGATTCGGGTTAAATCGGATTATCGAGAAAATTGACTGACTCTTTCGTTCGACCGATTTTCTCTCGGTTTATCTTTCTTTTTCCTTTGCACATATCCTTCGATACTTACTACGTGATATTTTTTAGCAAATTCATAAGATATTTCACATAAATTGATAAATTATTGTAGGCACTATTTTTCACTTTTTTAAAATTCAAATTAAGCACTCTTTACTTTTGTCAGTCTTTCGCTATCCACACTCGAGGCGATTTTCCTTATCCCACCAAGAATCTTCGTGGCACATCTTCTCTAGTTTACGCGAGTACGAAGTTTAATATGTTCGTTCACTGCGTCGCCTCGACAATCGACTGACGATCGAAAATTTTTCGCTCTACGCGGATACGTCTCGGGCGCGTTCCTTCCTTATACAGTCCTGCGCTACATTATCATTATGATGATGATTCTAAACAACCCTTCGATTGCTCTCGCTCTCATCATCTTTTTTTCTTTTATTTTCCCCACTCCCAGAGAGGCACGCATGCGGTGGATGGAAAAAAAGTAGGCGAAAGGGTGGGGTGCCGGCGTTACACAATTTTTTTTTCATTCATTCTTCGCGTTTTTGAGGGGGGTCAAAAGGGTGCAAATAGGCGAGTATCACCCAGGTGCTGTTGTACCCAGAGTCCTAAAGGGATTGAGAAAAAAAACTGCGGGGTCCATGGCGCTGTGTACACACAAAATCTATACTTTTTTTTGGTCTATATTAGAAACTCGGTAGCGAAGTGCGCCAAGATTATAAGTATTTATCTTTATTTCATTTGAGGAGTATTAAGCGATTTATCGAGGTTGAGCTGGTGTCAAAATATAAGGATATTTGCTGAAATTTCATCTCTTCTAAAAGTCACAATAATCGAAAATTCACGAGACCTTCGTAGATAAAAAATGTTTCGACATACGACCGACATTGATTTTATTTATTTTTATAATCGAACGTATAAAGCTCGTAAATTTGGCGATTTTTGCGGTGCATTCTTTCCTTGGATTTTTAACGAGTAACAAATCAATACTTATTTTCAGCGCATCTTTGCATCGTGCGAAATACAATTTAGAAATATGAATTCGTATTTTTTATGACAAGCCGTTTTTATTCGGGTCCATTTTCGTTAATTTAAAAATTATTTTAAGAGGATTAGAAATCAAAGTCGTTACTGAAACCATTAAATTAAAAGATTACACTGATTACGACTAATTGAGAATTAGCAATATATGAATTATAATTTTTTTCTCAAACCAGAGCTTTGTGACTAAGGAACTGATAAATTATCATATTTTTATAAAGTATACCCAAGCTCAGTTAACGAATGATTGAAAATCAAAAATTTTTATGTCGCCACTATGTAAAATTATATTACAATCGATGGAGCTTTTATATCTGCAATAATCGGCACTGGCAGAAGATGCAAGAGTGTATGTCTACAGCAGCCATCGATTAGTCAGTTTTTGCGCGCGTAACATAGCGCCCTCTGCGTCCTACTGCGCGTAGATAAGGTAGGCTGCCAAATGACTTTTAAATATATTTTGCAATGTATTATGTGACGAAACGCGCAGTATTTTTGAATTGAAAACGACTACTATGAATTATGACTGTGAAATTCATCGAAGGCACAAAAACTTGTCATACGTCATTGTCATCATTAGAGCGAGCTTAGATGTTTTTATTCCATCGTTTTTGTTTTTTTTTTGTCACCTCCTCGGCTTGGTGAATAATCGACTAATAAGTGCCTAACCGTAATGAAAACTCCTCATGCATATTAATCGATCCGAGTATGAAAAGAATACGAATTCAAGTGAACGACATTGTGTCGTTGAATTACGTCGTACGCGAGAATCACTTGTTAAGCTCGGCCACACCGCAGACGAGGTATTATAATTTATTGTTGTATGTCGATAGTCGTGTGAAACAATCGCGACAAGATGTTCGAACGAGTCTGAAGGTGTTTAGAGAACCAACAAACTATTCATTCCAAAATAAGAGAAAAAAACTTGTATTGATGGTATTTACTTCGACAGAAACTAAAATACGTTTCGTTTTCGTTCACTACCTGCACTGCTTCTTTTAAAATCGACACTCAAATTCGAATAATTTGAATAAAGTATTATTGAAAACCTGATTTTCCGACGAATCAAGTTGGATTACGTGATATTTCGCGTGTGTGTGTCTGCATGCAAAACGATTCAATTCCTCGATGACACTTCGATTTCCTCGCGAACGTCTTTTACGTTGACTTATAAGCCGTTTGAATTTTTGCGAGATGCAGGCAGAATTTTGCTGAGCACACACATAAAGAAGTATAATATCAGCTGCGTCGTCGTCGTCGCGTTTGCAAACACACGCACACACACTCCCACCTCGACGGACTATTGAATCGCATGCGGCATGTGGATACCATACTACTACTACTACTACTACTACTACTACTACGCCACTCATAGAGCATATTTGCGGAGCGGTGGACTGCTGCTGACTGGCAGCGGAGCGCGGCAACTGCGGGGCGAAAAGTCGCGCGCGCGTTTAGTCGCTCGGCAGACGCGGAACGGAGCATCGGAGCATCCAAGCCCTATATATAGGTAGTATATATATTAAAGTACGCAAACTATCACGCCGTTAACAGACACAAACACACGTACAACGTAACATATACTAACGTAAAAAAGTACTGTATTACAATTATGGCCGCGAATGTGCACCACATCTTTTGTTGTTGCTTTAACGTATAGACAAACGACAAAACGAGGAAGGAATCGAGAAGTTCGTTAAAACAGTACTCACAAGAACGCGGCTCTTGGTTTTTTTGAACGTCACTTTGTGCACTTCCGCAGTCTTGCCGCGCGAATACATGTAAAAACTTTGGAGCATTAGTGCACTATTATCGAAGTTCGTTAAGCCGAATCGCGAGCTGCTTACTGAACAAATCCAAAAATTTCGAAGCTCGAGCTTCGAGCAAGTAAAGCGAATTCGAAATTCGAATTGGTTTGTTCGAACAGTTGAGCAACGAAGAAGTAAATAAGAAAAAAAAATGTGCAATACGTGAATTATCATCGTGCACGTGTTCGCCGGTCAATTATTTTATTGCATTATAGCTGTGACACACGATCGTACGTACAATGTTTCGAGCGCAAGCAATGTGCTCATAATATAATCTCAAAAACTCTCAAAAGGGCAAAATTGCACGCGGCCTACCCGTAATGAAAAGCAGACGCTTGCTGCAGCATGTCACACATTTATATACACTGCATGTATACACACAAACTTCCATAATAGATATAGGTATACTAGCATGGCTAGGCTCGTGCGCGCGCGCACTTGCGAACTTTTTTGCTATATACCTTTGCTGAGAGTGCATAGATATACATGTGTGTATACATATACTATATAGGCACATACATATATACCTACACACGTACAAGCCGCTCGATCGCGGCAACGGCAACGACCAGCTCTCGGGCAGCCAACACCTTTTGTCGTCGCGTAGTACATACACCTTCATCGTAACAACGCATCGAACACACATACATACAAACCGCATTACCCTATTATAATATACACGAACGTCAAAGTGTGGTGCGTGCTTTTTTCATTGACGCAGTCATTGTTGTTTCGTTACAGTTGTTTTGGAGTCAGGCGCGTACGTAAACAAAACCACATCAAAGCGCATCGCAAATGACATCGAGGATAGCCTCAGCAAGCCTCATCTCGCCGAGATAGTATTCGCAGTGGCTGGCCGTAATATACATTTTTGGCGGGAATACGAAGTTCGCATCTCCCGAGCGAAGCACTCACGCACGCAGCACAGCCACACTCACACGCAGAGAGAAGAGTGAGCAGCAGCAACAGCCACGAAGAGAGGCTTTGATACAAAGGGGGAGAACGGCCGGAGAGTTCTTCGTTCGTATAGTAGTCGTAGTAGTAATAGCATATAGAAAGGGTCTACTGCTGCTGCTGTTGCCTGCATATTATATAGCCCGAGAGATACGAACGAGGTATATAGTGTGCTACGGTGTGCCCGCGCGTGTGTGACTTTGTGCCTCGACGAGAGAAGAAACGTATATATAAGGAGAGTGAGATAGGTCGAGCTGCTGCTGCTCTAGGAGGCAACGTTCCTCTTCCTTTCTCTCTCTCTCTCTCTCTCTCTCGGGCGATTGAAGATCCTATCTCGCGGCCTAGCAGAGAAGTGAGTGCGCCGAGTGCAACGGAGTAGTCGTGTGTGCTACTACTATAGATATATTGAACGTATAAATAGAACAATATAAACAAGCTCGCGGAAGCGCAAGAAAAAGGCTGCAGCAGCACAACACAGCAACATGACAACGCCGGTGAAGAAAGTTCCGATTCACCTGCAGGTAAGAAGCAGAAGCGTGCGCAGGCACTGCACTTCATACATACATAAATAATAATAAGAATTTCGCTAGACAATGCAGCTTGGCTCGTGTCTTGTGCTGCGACTCCGGCTTAGCTGCCTCTGTTTCGAGATTAAACATTTTTTCTATACGGGATTCCATACGGCGTAGAAATATAGCAGCAATGCTCTATATCGATTATGGTGGTGGTGCTGCTGCGTGTGTATGCGCTTGTGCGCCTGCTGCGTGATGGTGTTTGCCCTGCCAGCTCTCATGGTGTATCGGGCGCGCTATGCACAGTCTCGAGAGACGACGACACTTCTGCTCGATTCTTTCGCGCAATTCGATTGATTGGAACGAGCAGTGTAGTAGACAGATACATACTTTATCTATATTCCCTTAATAGTGATTGATATTTGCGATTTGCTTACTATGCAAGCAGTTGTGCGTACAATGTGTACATACATACGCACCAGAGAGAGAGAGTACGTATCGATTATTTTACGAGCTGTTGCTGCGGAGCCGAGGAAGCGTGTATTACGCTCTGTGTGTCGCGACATATACAGTTCACACACCCAAGTACTACACGCGGGGATACGGTATTGATCTATTTGGGGATGGTGCGACGAGAGTGCATCGACGAGTGAGATTTCCTCGCACCCGAGAGCGAGTCAGACTCGCGGCATAGGGTCATTATACTCTCTCTCTCTCTGTCGGTCTGATGTAATTCGATTATATAGAGCGGCCTAGAGAGCAGCGATTTGCGCGCGCACAGAGAACTGCGCTGCCTTTGTATCGCTCCTACAATATGTTGCTCAACGTTAAATTTTAAGTAACCAATGCATTCCGGAGGTATATAAGAACTAAACACGAAGCGATATATATTGGTACTGTATTGTATACCTCTCATGGCCACTTATAACGAGCTCCGAAAAATAAGCAATTCATAATCTATCGTCGCTCCGTAAAGTCGTGAGTGAAAGGGTTACTTTAATGCTGATTTTCGAAGCTACGGGGCCTCTGTAACACCTTTTAGGTAGATACATTCTCGAGTTGTTACGAAGCCAATACACAAAAAGCTCACACTCGTTTCGTGCAGAAGACAAAATAATAATGGGTAACGTTTTATCCCGGAGTTGCGTCAATTTTGACGTCTAGCTTCTTGAAAATAGACTTCCGAATAAGCTCCGAAGCGTGCTCGGTGCTGCGCTGATATAACACGCCGCGTTGGGTAATAATACCACGTGTATATGTATAAAATTCGAAGTTTAGGCGAAGAGCTGCTTAGCTGCTGCTGCTGCTGCTGCTGCTGCTGCTGTGGTGCTGTCAAAATGTCAAAAATTTTACATACATTTTTAGAACGAGAGCGAGAGCCGCTGCGCGTGTTTTCGCGCGCAGTCGTCGTCGTGCATGTGCCGCTGCTGCTGCTCCGCTTTGCATTCGATGTGTTATTATGAATAATCCGCTTTGCTTTCATCGCGTCGCACGCGGTATCGCTGCCTGTAAATGTATACAATGCATACTATACATGTATGTATACGTGTGAGCGCAAAAAAAGGCACCTGCCTTCATAATCGTGTCAATACCCAGATACGGGAAATCTCGTTATCTTTAATTATCGCCGTCGTCGTTCGGTCACACGTGTATGTGTGAACGTGTGTAGATCTCCTCGATCTTTTTGTTTCGACTCTTCGTAAATACGGACGCTTGTCGCGCTCTGTTCTGAAACTGTGTATATAAATTCGACCGCCGCCTGAGCTAGTTCCGCGACGCGCCCAACCGCGACACACAGCGTCAGCTCCGAATGTCTATTCAAAAACTCGAATAACGGGGCTAGGTGAGTAGTAGTAGCGAGCGGTAGCCACTACCGACACTTGTTCAAACTTTATTACTCCACTATTTAGATTGGACCCATCCCGTGTACGATTACGAAGTGCGAATAAATTTTTTCTTTTTGAATAAAAAAACAACGTAATAATATACTCTTACACGACAGTCGTCATAATTAACGAAACACCGGCGAGATTTTTAATAATAAGTTTTCAACGACTTTCGACAATTTGCAGCTTTACTTTCTATTTACGTAAACACAGGCTCGTTCGCTCGAAGCATCTCCTCTCTACTCGTTCGAAAAGGTCAAAGAGTTCTATGCTCCTTAACACTTCTTTTTCCTTATTTGTGTGCACGTTTAGACGCCTGCACGTATCTGTGTGTGTGTGTATGTGAGAGCATGCACAAACGCCGCTGCTTAGTTAGCGCTCGTTCGTGCATCTATATACGTGCTGCGACGCTTTTTTACCAGCTTCACACAACCATAACACTGTATAGAGCTGCGATGCAGAGCTCGGAGCCGAGCGAGAAGAAGTTTATTTTTGCTATCTGTATACGCACACGCGCGCGCTAGCACTAATACGTGTACGCTCTCGGCCGCACATAGAGCGAGCGCCGATAGAAACCGGTCCCTCGAGTTACGTAATTTTTTGTTTATATACACGCGCTCGTGCGCACCGATACTACTTTACTATATGCTATAGTGCCGCCGCCTGCACCATGACGTTTATAATTGAGCGTGGGTTGGTCGCGCGCGTGCACACACACATACCTACTCCGTGCAGAATCATTTGAATTTATAAAGCGCAAAGACCCAGAGACTCGGATTCCAATTGGATTTGAATCGCTTACTTATACATTTGTAAGGCGTTGAAAAAAAAGAAGAGATTTGGCGTGGGGGAATAATATTATTCCGCATCGATGAAGGGTGTTTGTAGTATACCTCCGAAGTAGTAGATAGTAGTATTTCGAGGCGCCCTCGTGGCGCGAGCTCGAGAACGTAAAAGACGTTTTACGCCTGGCCGGGTGCTTATTTACACACGCGGATATCAAAACAGTACGACACGTGTATGAATCACCAGTAGTGTTGTACAAAATCGGAGCCGCATGACTCACCGATACTTTTAATCCCGAATTTCACTTGTTATATGTGTGCTATTTTATTTAGTATCACGAGTTACGACGCGAATTTCACATTTCGCGCGACTTTTTATAGAGGCTCGTCGAGATAATGAATAACACTCGATCTGCATCGTGAGCACTCGATAAATGACACTATAGACGCGAGTTTAAATAACTCAAATTAATTCAACTCATTATCATAATCATTGTCACGGCGCACATGTCTCGGCGCGCGGTCATTAAAATATTGTCTTTATATCGTTGTAACGGCCCCGTGGCACTTAATTTGCCGATACTTAATTAATTCACATCATCGCGTGTGTACGAGTACTCGACCTTTATAGCGAGTGACTTATAAATCGTATCATATCGTTCGAAAGGCAATCGTCTATATCAGGCAAGTCTATAAGGAGTGACCCTTGATCGTCATCGACGAGACACTCGCTCTAACCACGCAACCACATATCTCCACTTACTATATCATATCTCTTTATTTCTTTATAGAGAAAATAAAACAATACATTCGATCGCAATACGATCATTTCAACAATGCTATAGGTCCGTTATAAATTCCGAGAGGCTAAGAATCAGCTGATTCCACTCGTAAAGGGCTGATGATTATCGACGTCTCGTCGCGAGATAAAATTTCAAGCGTTTTCAGTACCGAGCTCAACACGAACGTCTGCCTGCATAGATGCTCTCTTATCCCAACGTACGATCTTGGCTCGAACTACGGGTACACACGCCGGGAAATATTGATCCAGGCAATACGAAATTTTCTCTGCCTCGTGCACGCGCGCGTACGCGACTTATTTTTTCTCCAGCTATATCTCGCAGATGCACTCGTCGGGCGTCGTCGCCTCACTGCAGACAGCAGTTTTTCTCTTATAGGCGAGGTGTCGAATTTTATTTTTTTCTCGCGAGGTGCTGATTTTAAGCTTATTGGCAACGTATTCGTAAAATAAATTTTAAATCAGCAACGCGATCGTTACTTATTTAAAAGATTATTTGAAGTATCAAATTTGACTACTAGATGGCACTTTTGATTCCCGCAAGTAGTTTAACACTCTTTAGATTAATATATGAGAGTGTAATTTTTCGATTTAAATGTTGATGACTCCTCCTGTTCATCATTTAAAGCTGTTTTTTTCATGTCTTAATGCAAATATGGATTATATATTCATGATCTTTAAATTATAAAACAATTTTCGCGCAAGGTCGAAAAATATACACTTTTTAAGTATAAAGTCGATTACTTGCGTCTTGTACTCGCAACGCGTCACGTACAGTACGTAATTCGAAAAAAAAATACATGCGTATCAAAAAGTTTTTCTAGTATACTTTGCGTCGGTGTGCAAATATTAGCGCCGTTGTACTAACATTGCTAAATAATGAGGTGTGGTATTTCTAGCGTATAACTGTTGCCATACGGCCTGTATTCCCACCTGAAAATTGACGACAGCTCGATGCGAAAACTTGCGGTGTTTACTTCCCCTACCGAGACATAAAAAAATAATAATGATATAAAAAGAGTCACGCTATACGAATAATTTTACGACCCTCCGAAACACAATTAACGCGGCTTTTCTGTCGACTCACATCGGCTATCTTTCATTCCCATTGAAAAAATCTCTAATACTCTATTTGACTGGTTTACGCGCGAATCAACGTGTATCGCTGCGTTATAGTGTACATGAATACGAGCGAGTTGGCGCGTGGCTCGCGCAGTCAATCTGCAGCCCTCGAGGCCTCGCGAGGCTTGAAAATCTGCATTCATATCTGCGCGACGACGTACCTTGCGAACAGTTCATAATACACAGCACAATGCAACACAACAGTACGACGCCATGAGCGCGTGCACATACACATTACATGCGGACAAAGACAGAAAACGCTTGAAGGCCGACATTCGTCTAAATGTATGTATCTCGATGTGTATACAACAATACCACCCTCGGAGCATCCCCTCCTTTTATTCGCCCGTGTATACGTACTATATCGCGCGTAGACAGTGCACACGCGACTGCGGAGGACGATGAACTATCGATTCG